CAGTATAAACACTAAAATGCTAACATCGATTTTATCGGTAGAGTATTAAGTGAATACGGACTAGACTACGTGAATGCCATTGAGATCTCACTGGTATTGGTGTTCAGGGGAAAACTGGCACACCCATACTGATTTTCATTGATTACTTAAATACAAAATATGATGACATCTTCCAGATGACCAATATGACCGCAAATGAAGTTTTTATTGCATGAAGGCATATCAGCTTAATAGTTTCTCATATTTTTTTTTCTTATAGCTGATTGTATGCAATATGATATTCTGTTAGTGAATGAAGGGTGTGGGTTCGACCGGGAAATGTGGCTAGTCTTTTGATGTACATCCACACCCTCGAGTGTTTTCATATTCCATATTGCCTTCTGGTTTTCGAGAGCTCGGATACCTTTTATCCGTTGCCGAGATGAATGTCAGAGAAATGACGATACGTGATTTTCCTTGGTTTCTGAGACCTCGGAGATTTTTGCTCAGAAATCCTCTCTAGGAAGGAGTTGGAGCTTGAATTTCGGTGTCGGTCTTTGCTTCACCCATTCACAAACACACTTCACATCACCAAGCATTTTCTCTTTTCTAGCTCATGATGTAAAACGAAATCTTCATTGATTTGGTCAATATCCTACTAATACATGTCACTTGAATTATGGTGTATATGTATCATGTGCGGACATGTTAAAGTGTTGTATATGATATGAAAAAGGTAAATGAAATATATGTAATTCAAACACGAAGTGCAAATACAAATATTTCGTTTTTGATAGAGACGCCATTTATTGAAATCTAACTCAAGTACACCTGTGAGCTATTTATATATGCTCGACCTACTTGCACATGTCGTACACTCTGTATTCATGCATGCCCTCTTAATGTATTATTTGCATATAAAATAAAAGGAAAGAATATCAAAAGAAATAATCTCAATTTTCGTGGACTGTAATAATTTCTTTCTGTGTGAATGGATTAAAATATACTTACACTCAGCTAATAGATTACAAAATATACATGAAAAAGACTAAGAAGAGTAGCAGTAAGAAGGCAAAACAGATCCTAGCCACATAACTATAGAGATAGGAGTATATATTCATGACTCTGCTCTTAGCAAAGCATGATCGATTTAATCGCAACTTTTGGCTTTAGCATTTCTCTATCATATCGAACTAAGAGAAAATGTGTGTATTTCTTTACAGGCATATTCCTTTAATATGATGACGAAAATGTTACTCATAGGTAATAGAGATGTGCTCTTATTTATGTAGATGTGCGCAAAAAGGAAAGGAAGAAAAGAATGTCTTCAACATTATTCTCTTTCGCCGGTATAATGCACATGCCTGTTTATGATTTTGCGTCGACAGTAAAAGAAACAAACATTTTGTCAATATTACCCATTCAGATTGAGAGTTCACTCAGTAAAGTGACACATTCTTTTTTGTAATTGTGATATATTTCATGATGATAAAAAGTAAATGCTACAGGTTATATAAAGAGTAGACAAAAAACTGTTGACCGAGTTTGTATAATAAATTTTTGTAAACTGAAATATGGATGTGTAAAATCGTCTCTATGATAAAAATGTTCAGTAAAACACTGTCTGAAAAATGACTATTGATTAATCCACCTATCTCATCTAATAAGAAATTTATAAGCATAGAAATATGCCTCACAAAATTAAAGTGAAAATTAATTGCGATTCTTTAGAGATATACAAAGAATAAGCATCCAGATTATATTGTAAAGTTCAGACTTTAATCTATGTATTGAAATTAATATTACCCTGTGACTACTATATGATAAATATTTTGTCTTAAACTATAAAAACATTTTCGATGCAGAGCGTCGGATATTGACGAAGTATTCATTTTAATACTTAATGAATATCTTCAAACGCTTATATAGAGAGAAAAATTAAAATAGGATAATTGATCAAGTACCTATCATATAGTGGTGACAGAATTCTTTTTTTTGTTTTGAACACACTAAACTCTTTGTATTTTCTAGTGAACGTTCTTAATCTGTGCGAATTTTTAAATATTTAATTTTCATACAACGAACTTTTTCTTTTTTTATTATGAATTTACATTTTCTGAAAAATACTACTTGTTGTCTTTGTATTATAATAATCACACACACAGAAAAAAAATTTATTTACATAATATTTCATATATTATTGATCGATAAAAATAACATAATTTAAAGTTTTTCATTTTCAATTGAAAAATCAGTTGAATTTTGAGTCATTGAAGGATTATCATATTGATATGGTTCAGTAACAGAAAATACTTGTATATTATTGTCATTAGTATTTAATAATGCATTTGAACGAACCAATTTTATTGTACAACATGTTTGAGTATCACATGCATTATTTTCACAACGAAGTAAACAGTCACCTGCTAATTTCGATTGACTATCTGCATTTCGACGTAATAGTGGTATTTGTTGATCATCATCACATTCATATTGCATTGTTACAGAATGTATGCCAATGGAATGAAAAAAGTTTTTTACTTTTTCAGCAACTAACATATAATTTGATAAAGTTTTTCGTTGTAAATGTGCACTAGCAATGATTTTTTCATCTGTTAAACGCCATACATGTAATTCATGAATACTACTGATTTCAGGAATAGTTTCTAATAAGTTTGTTTTGATTAGATGAATTTCAAGATTTTTAGGAATTTGTTGAAGTAAAATTGCAGATGTATCTCGAAAAAGTGGAATAGCAGAAGTTGTTATTATGATAACGATTATCACTGATAACATTGGATCAATATAAACTGTCCAATGTTTTTTATCTTCTGGATCATGTGGAACAAATTTAATTATTAAAGCACTTATTATAACAACTACTGAACCAAGAGCATCAGCTAATACATGTAAAAATACTCCATGCATATTCATTGATGCTTTCTTTTTTGATTTTTTGTCTTTATCACCATTATTTGTCTTATCAATTTCAATAACTGTATCATTTGGATGTTCACCAATTTGACTTGAACATTCTTCAATAACCTAAATTTAACAGATAAAGAAGTCGAAATTATTTTTTCAAATCTTACTTCTTGTAAAGCTCGTGTACTATATCGTTCAAATCCACTTAAAACCTCGTTGTGTACTTCTGGTTGAATATTTTCATTTGATTTTATATTCATATTACCATGCGAATGACCTCCATGTGAATGTCCATGAAAACCTTGAAATAAGAATAAACCAATAATGTTTATTCCTAAACCAACGGAACCAACAATAAGTAATAAATCAACTTTTTCAATTGGTTCAGGATCCACAAAACGTTTAATAGCATCAAATATAATAGTTAAACAAAGTGCAAGAAGAAAAACTGTATTTATATTTGCACCAACAACTTCAGCACGTACCCATCCATATGTATTAACATCTGATCCACGTTTAATAAATCTAACAGCAACTAATCCAATAACAAGTGATATAACATCAGACAACATATGAAATGCATCAGCAACAAGTGCAACGGATTTTGTGATATTACCAACAACAAGTTCGACAACAAAATATCCAAATGTTAAAAAAATCATTGATATTAAACGAGAAGTTTTTGTTCGTAATAATCGACGTTTATGACGATGATTATCATCATTATGATCATGATTATGACCATGATCATCATTGTGATCATGACTATGACCATGATCATCATTATGATCATGACTATGACCATGATCATCATTGTGATCATGACTATGACCATGATCATCATTATGATCATGACTATGACCATGATCATCATTATGATTATGATTGTGTTTATGTTCAGATTTTGAAGACGGCATTATAAAATACGTATAAGTAATTGTAGGAATGCAGAAGAATATATACTATTCAAAAGGCACCCCCGATATAATGAATCATTGTTAGTATTTTTTTTT